TATGCAAACAGACACTCCCGCGCACGCACACACATTCACACACACACACACACACACACACACACACATTAACACACACACACACACACACACACACACACACACACACACATACACTGGGAGAGTGAGGTATAGACAAAGAGACAAACAGACAAACTGGCGGCCGGCGGCCAAGAATTGTCAATTGATGTTTCATTCTTCTTCCGATTAATCCCGTGTCCCCATAGCGCTCACTTGGTCTCTCGGGGAATTTGCCGTTTTCAAGATTTCTGCTGATATCCCATTGTATATTGTCTGCTTTTCGTTTTTCTAGTATTATTTGTCACTTTGTTCATCTGATTGCTTCTACTATTCTTCATCTTGAACACCAACAACACTAGCAACAACAACAACAACGACTAGAGCAACAACGACGACGACTACGACGACCTCAACAACAACAGCAGCAGCAACAACAACAGCAGCAGCAACAACAACAACAATAGCAACAACAACAACTACAGCAACAACAACAGTAACAACAACAACAACAACAACAACAACCACAACAGTAACAACAACAACAGCCTCAACAACAAATTCTAATTCATTGATGTCTACGTAAACCATAGATGTACACTATAGGCGTTTAGAAGGGGTAACTCTATGACGTAAACACTCACCCAAACAAACTCGTTTCAGAAATGTGACTCCACAGATTTGCGCCCACGGTGTTGTTTTGGTGACGTTTTTTATGCAGTTAACGTAGCTTTCGATTTGATCGGCTTAATAAAAAGATTCAATAGAATCTTCTACCGTTATCATTCCTGCTGCTGTAGCTTTCCCTGCCACGGCTTTGGTTCCAAATAAAGTGTTTTGAAACATCCAGACACAATGAGTTGTAGCATATTATTATCAATTTACCCCCCCCCCCTCATCTTTTTCCCCAATCCACCCCGCATATTTCGTGTAACGGACAGACATGACTTACCTCGGACATTGTTTATTCATGTGAGCGAAAGTTTGGTGCTCATGAGGGCTAAGAAAATGCATCCAGGGCCTTGTGTTACTTTCAAATGAAACAGGGCCTTACATGTAATATATTCCCTGAGGTTTTGATAAAAGTCGATAATAAAACAGGTTAAAAAATAACAACAACCGAACACTAAACCTATGGTGTCTCCTCTGTTAGCCAAACTGCTTCGTTAAAAAAACCAACATTATTGCTAATGTCAACCAGCTTTAAAAGTGAACGAAGCAGTTGTTTTTGGTTTGTACTGACGAGAAAACCTACAATCAAGAGAGAAAAAATAATTGAACGAATCATGCTCTAGCTTACAAATTATGTACTTGTTAGAATGTAAGCCAATCAGTTTATTATTCATTTTATACAAACCGAAGAAACATTCCGCAGATGATCGGGCCCAGATGGAAGGAAGAGCTCTGCTAGATCTATAGCTTGACCACTTTCATCTGTCCGCGTCAAAAGAAAAAAAAATCTAGCTCATTCATTCATTTACCTAAGCTCTTGCAACTTTGCATGGTCCTTCTGTAGGCCGGCGACCAAACATTTTTTATGTTGAAAATCTTTATTCAGTAATTTTTTTTAAAGTTTCCCTGTTAAGGCTCTTTATTAAACACCACCCTTAGGGTATAGGTCTATTCACAGGTTCGCCAAAATGATGATTTACAATAAATAACCTTGCATACAACGTGCTCATTTAGAGACCGCAACACCACCCTGCCCCCACATTTCAGAATGCCAAGGAGGAAAAGGCCCGTTGTGTAAGCTTGCAGACCCCCCCC